ACCCACGCCGTCTGCAGGCTGACCGTGGCCTCAGACGCTAAACTCACGGTCAAAACAATCACACCAGAAACAACACACATACACTCTCTTCCACCTCCTCCTCCCAGCCGCCCAATCCCGCAGGCTGGTAGGATGAGTCCGCTCACTCTGGCAGCGTGGAATGTCCGTCCCCTCTTAGCCAATCCGAGGAACAACCGACCGGAACGGAGGACGGCGCAAGTGGTTCGGGAACTGGCGCGCCACAAGATGGACATCGCTGCACTCAGCGAGACCCGGTCCTCCAAACAAGGCCAACTGGAGGAGGTGGGTGCTGGCTACACCTTCATTTGAAGCGGTCGCCCCAGGACAGTACGACAGGATGCGAGCATCGCCTTTGCTATCCGGAGTGACATCGTGGGACGACTACCCTGTCTACTGCAGGTTATCAACGATCGCCTGATGAGCCTCCACTTGCCTCTCCAGGGAGGCAAATTTGCCACCACCGTCGGTGTCTACGCTCCCCCGATGACCAGCCCTGACGCTGCAAGAAAGAAATTGCACGAGGACCTGCGCGCCCACCTGAAGTTTGTGCCGAAGGCGTATAAGCTAATTGTCCTTGGTGACTTCAACGCCCGCGTCGGCACAGACCATGTCGCCTGGAGAGGAGTGCTGGGTCTTGACGGCTCCAACGAAAATGGCCTGCTCGCCCTGTTTAATTTCCGAAGAAACTAATGCGCGAACTTGGAGTAAATCCTTCGGAGCCGATCTTTTCAGGCATGGTTCGAAATTTGATGTAAATATTTGAGCTGAAATGCATTATCTACTGGGGCATAACCACGTAATATTCTCAAATATATTCACTATAAACTAAGTTACGTGCAAGTCCCCGTGCCTACTTCACCTTGTTGTGGAGCACACGGTGTATACTAACAAAACACTGATTTGGAACTTTGTCCTTTCAGCAAAAACTGACTAAGATCGTGCAAAAGAGACCGGTAAACATTTTCGTATCGACAAGCTTTAAGTCAAATGACTAAAAGATTGCAGACCACACGCTGCATCGGCAGAGGTAAGGTGCGCATAATTATCTGAGAGAGTAAAACAATTACGGAATAGTATAACGGACAAAGACAGTGGAGGCTATAGTGGCTAGTTTCGAGTTACTTGACTTTGTCAACAGGCCATTTTCTAAGTTCAGGCATTAGGGTCTGACACTTGGGCCCGAGTGACTTGGCAGTTGCTCTTTCAGTTAGGGCCGGACACGGCAATATAGACCGCTCAATACTCAAGGTAGCACTGCCTAAATTCCAGGGGGGAGGGTTCCTATTCCCGTGTCCTCACCTTAACCTCAATTCTATTCCTAACACCAACCCTCATAAACGCTTAAATGTAATCCTAAACACAACCTTAATTCCGACCGCCTAAAACTTAGAGAAGGGCTATCTGTAGAACGAGATGACCATGTTCCCATGCCCCACCTCAGTTAGTAAACTAGCAGAGGCCCTGTCAGCTGCGAACGGGAGGATTTAGCCAGATAACAGTGGCCTTCACCTGTCAAGTCTGCTTGCTAGAACAGATTAGGGGCACGCCCTGGAGTTACAGCCCAGCGTCCTCGCCGGGACAGCCAATACTGCACAGTCACTGTTGACAGTGAGAAGACAGAATTGAATTTTGATTTCTGGCTTATTTGTGGCCGTCGGCCAACTATGGATCGCGGCATCAAGGGAAAGCTAAACTCTCTTTTTCTGTCCTGCAATTATCCCAGGTCAGTGAGTGTCACCCCCACATAGATCAACTAGTGAGGATGTATACTGACGTAAGAACAGATGTGCTAGATGTGTA